TTGTGTTTCTGACTTGCAGATTATTCTTGGAAAGGGGAACGCAAGTTTGGAAAATGAAACTGTAAAGCATTTGAACATCCAGCCTGATCACAAAGTTCTTGAAATTGGGTTTGGCCCTGGTATCGGGTTAAATGCTGCTCTGGAAAAAGTGGAGCACTCCTCTGGTAAAGTGTATGGCATTGACATTTCTGAGCAAATAGTAAGTACTGAATTCAAGGGAACTGTTTATTGAGGGGGAACTGGAGAGAAGAGAGGCGGTTAGAAGAGATCTGGGTACAAGATTAGGGTATCCCCCTCTCCATCTACTCTTTTGACATATGCATATAATAAAGTATTAGTTTTGTGTTTGTTAAGTTCGCATAAGCCGCTTCTGCAATTGTTTGGTGTTCGCTGCATTAGATCTGTGCAGTTAGTGAGTAAAGTAAGTAAGTAACAACCTTATTTAATGAAGGTAGTACATGACAGAAAAAACTGATGGACTAGTGGCCCTCAATCGTAATTAAAATATTTAGAACTATCTTAATAAACATGACAAGTTAAAATTAGTTTTGCTTTTTATTTTTATTGAAGACTTAATATTTATTATAGTATCTAGAATGGCCCAATCACAGTAACAAACCAGTAAACTCCATCTAGGCGGCCCTCTTAAACTTTTGATCTCACTTAAAGGGAAAGTTTCTTTTTCTATTTTATTAGCTTACATTATTTTTTAATGGCATTTTTTTTTTCAACCACAGAGTCTTTATTAATCTCCCTCACAGCTGTCGTCATGCAACCCTCCTTGAGGAGCATTGCACGATGACACTAAAAACGGCTGCAAGGGAGACTAACTCTTTATGGGTATTAATAAAGGTTGTTTTGATGTAAGGTGTTTCTTTCTGTATGTTATTTGTATTTCTTTTCTTTTCCTTTTTTTTCATAATTTAAAGTTTTTTCCTGCCAAGATTAGCATTTATAAGCTATTTGCGTGGCATAAAGTAATTGTAAACGTTATAGTTTATTAAATAAATACATTGTTGTTGTTGTAATGTTGTTGTTGTCTTTTAGAGTATTCATTTTGCAAGGTTTCGTAAGTTATTTTGGATCATTCCCTGCCTGATAATGTCGAGTGCTTGAGTTTATAATGGTTTGATTATGTTTATTTTGCCTTGAAAAAAAAATTTCAGGTTGAGAGCGCACAGAGGCGTTTTAAAGAAGCGATAAAAAGAGGGAAACTAGAAATCCGTTTGGGCAGTGACGCCCCATCGGGTAGGGTTTTTGCGCCGTTTTGGTCTGAAAACGAGCCTGGGGACGAGGTTGAGGTATGGTTTTCGAGGGAACTACAGAGTGTGTGAACGTATTTAGTGTTTCATTTCCAAATGAGTAAGAGAGAAAGAGAAATACATGCAAATTCAAAATGGATTTGAATAATTTGTTTGCGCTTTAACGGCCAAGTAATGACAACATAATTTCTGCCTAAAGGCCAGGTCTGAAAACGGGTATGGATTTTAGAGGTCTAGTCTGAAAACGGGTGTGGAAAAGTACATTTTGTGGTCTGAAATCGGGTCAGGATATGAGGAACTGGGCGGCACACCCCCCACCAAAAATTCCCAGGAGTACCCCCCGGGAAATATATCTAAAAAAAATTGTTACAAGCAGAATTTAAAGCTGTAATTAGTAATTTCCTTGTCTTTTGTAGAAGATTACTGTGATGTACTTTTACAAGGATGGTGTTAAATCATTAATTTTAGTTTAAGCATAAGAAGCTTTAGACTGTGTTTCATGATATGGTTTGAGAGATATATATCAGACAGTTTTAGCTGTTCATTTCCTAATCTGAGATATAGTCAACTTGAATCTGCCATTTACTGTCAAAAACGTAATTCGATCCCTAAAGTCTCTCTATTATATGGAGGAGAGTGTTTTACGGGGAACTAAACCACTCGTAGATTCCATACGCCACTTCATCCGGGACCTGAGTGGCGTATTTTCCATATGTCACCTTTGTGAGTGTCGTATCGTTCAATGACATCACGATTCGCGCCTTTTGCTTTTGTTGAATTGGTTTCTCCATATAATAAAAAGAACATTACACGTTGGCTCGAAGATATGAATTTTATGTTCGAGTGGTAAGAACAATATCTCACTCGTTCGCTTCGCTCACTCGTGAGATATTGTTCTTGCCACTCGAACTTAAAATTCATATCTTCTCGCCACCGTGTAATATCCTCTATTTATTATGTCTCCATCTAGCGTTGTATCGTGATGGATCAGGGCTTCTGATTTTATGCAATTGTGTGATTTCTCACAAATGATCAAAAATTGCATCTGATCGCATATTCCATAAGGAATAAAAAAATAAATAACCCTTCTTCAGAAGGCCTGATGTGCATTTGATGATCTTCATCGTGGCGTGCAAGTTTTAATCTTAGTATTTTGTCACTTAACTATTTAATAATAACCAAGGTAGTTTATGATCTTGTTCAGATGCATTTTTATGAAAAATGTTCATTGACAATTATTTCTCAGATGAGGTTTTAGTTTAATCTCTTGAACCCGCAACTTTGCATCACGTTGGAAACTGTAGAAAAGAAATGTTTGAATGCTATATTATGCAAGGCTTTGTCCCATAGTATTGTAAAGGGTTATTATCTGGGTACATTATTTTGTATGTGGATTAACATTGCCAGCTGTTAATAGATGTGGAAAATTGAAAGTGAACTTCCCTAGTCTGAGTTTCAAAACCTGTCGTTTTGCATATTGAAGAGGAAGCTAAGGCACTGTCACAGTTTCAACCAATCTTTGTGTTGTTTGTCACCATTTCTGCTGTCCTAGACCCCTGTCTCAAGGCCATGTCCCCTGTTGGAATTTACCCTAACAGGGTCGATCATTAATCTGCCATGATGACTGTGCAGAAGTGGCAAATATCTTTTTTTTTTTTTTTAAAATACAGGCTTTAATTCATTGTGTTTCTGACTTGCAGATTATTCTTGGAAAGGGGAACGCAAGTTTGGAAAATGAAACTGTAAAGCATTTGAACATCCAGCCTGATCACAAAGTTCTTGAAATTGGGTTTGGCCCTGGTATCGGGTTAAATGCTGCTCTGGAAAAAGTGGAGCACTCCTCTGGTAAAGTGTATGGCATTGACATTTCTGAGCAAATAGTAAGTACTGAATTCAAGGGAACTGTTTATTGAGGGGGAACTGGAGAGAAGAGAGGCGGTTAGAAGAGATCTGGGTACAAGATTAGGGTATCCCCCTCTCCATCTACTCTTTTGACATATGCATATAATAAAGTATTAGTTTTGTGTTTGTTAAGTTCGCATAAGCCGCTTCTGCAATTGTTTGGTGTTCGCTGCATTAGATCTGTGCAGTTAGTGAGTAAAGTAAGTAAGTAACAACCTTATTTAATGAAGGTAGTACATGACAGAAAAAACTGATGGACTAGTGGCCCTCAATCGTAATTAAAATATTTAGAACTATCTTAATAAACATGACAAGTTAAAATTAGTTTTGCTTTTTATTTTTATTGAAGACTTAATATTTATTATAGTATCTAGAATGGCCCAATCACAGTAACAAACCAGTAAACTCCATCTAGGCGGCCCTCTTAAACTTTTGATCTCACTTAAAGGGAAAGTTTCTTTTTCTATTTTATTAGCTTACATTATTTTTTAATGGCATTTTTTTTTTCAACCACAGAGTCTTTATTAATCTCCCTCACAGCTGTCGTCATGCAACCCTCCTTGAGGAGCATTGCACGATGACACTAAAAACGGCTGCAAGGGAGACTAACTCTTTATGGGTATTAATAAAGGTTGTTTTGATGTAAGGTGTTTCTTTCTGTATGTTATTTGTATTTCTTTTCTTTTCCTTTTTTTTCATAATTTAAAGTTTTTTCCTGCCAAGATTAGCATTTATAAGCTATTTGCGTGGCATAAAGTAATTGTAAACGTTATAGTTTATTAAATAAATACATTGTTGTTGTTGTAATGTTGTTGTTGTCTTTTAGAGTATTCATTTTGCAAGGTTTCGTAAGTTATTTTGGATCATTCCCTGCCTGATAATGTCGAGTGCTTGAGTTTATAATGGTTTGATTATGTTTATTTTGCCTTGAAAAAAAAATTTCAGGTTGAGAGCGCACAGAGGCGTTTTAAAGAAGCGATAAAAAGAGGGAAACTAGAAATCCGTTTGGGCAGTGTTATGGAACTTCCTTATGAAGATGACTTGTTTAACAGTGTGTTCCACACAAATTGCTATTATTTTTGGCCAAGTCTTGAACAAGGCATTTCAGAGATGAAGAGGGTCTTAAAACCAAGAGGAATCATGTTGACTGGACTTTTTTATGATGCATTACTGACAAGTACACGTAAAGGATTTTTAAAATATGGACCCAACTGGCGTCCAGAGCTGTATATAGAAAAACTTAAAGAAGGAGGGTTTGTGGATGTTGCCATGGAGACAGTAACAAAACCTTCTGGCCACAACTATCAGGTTATATTTGCCTCAAAACCATAGTTGACAAATGAAGACAAATGCTTGTTTTGCTAGTTGCTATAGTCTGTTCTTTAGTACAAGAAGAATGAATCACATTTATTTCACATCTGGGAAGGTCAGAAATCACAGCAAAACAAGCAAATAAATAAACTTTACTGCATCTTCTTTCTTCTCAAGATAATAGAATACTGGGAGCTGCATGATAATATTTTTTATTTTTACCTCATAGTATTGTAATATGTACATTGCAGATATTTACATATTTTTATAAGGTGTTACCGGTATTTAGAACTGCACAAATTGTGTCTTTGTCGGTCTAAAAGCAGTCTAACAACTTAACAATAACACATCTCTGCATCTGTGATCAAAGTGAATTCATTTGTGACAATTATACCTTTTGCTGCCTTTGATCTCTTGTTCACAGACCAACTATTTTCTATGGAGACATTGTCTTGTGAGGTGAAGATAAAAACTGTAGGAGATTTAGATAAATTCTTCAAAATAATTTACTGAAGTCATGATGAAATTTTGTCATCATTAATGCTGCAAGAGATGTTAATTTTCCCCTCAGGTGTAAAGAATTGGTGTGCATTAAGCATAATTTACTGGCTTGAGATTGAAGATTTCTATGGCTATATAGTGTCACTCAGGCTCACATTAAAAGCACTTAGATATGGCAGATATAAATAAGCTATGTTGTAGCTATGATGGTCATAATTCCCTGTATGGTTTCATGTCATGATAGCTACTTAAATTAGATATTTCTATCTAGTACAGAAATATACTTTATGCAATATATTGCATATTAAAAAGAAGTCTAAAAAACTTCTGGTAGAAATAAGCTAGGAGTTAATGTAATTATAAAAATAAAAAAAGGAAGTTTGAGAATGTCTAATTCTGGTGGTGTTCTTTTTCTGATGGGCGTTTTGATCATATCCTTAACATGATAGAATGCGATATAGTTTTAGCTTGGGTACAACATGTTAAATGCCTGAAAAAAATATTTCATAAGCACCCCCACCCCTTCCCTGGGCCACGCTTCTTGGCTGAATTTATTGCATCCTGCTTATTCATGTGAGCATAACTACAAAGGAACAATATCAATATAATCATGGCAAGAGAATGAACTGTTTAAGGATAAAAACTGGCGGGTGTCTCTTCCCATTGTTCATCGCACACTGATATATTTTTTGTTTGGAATACCTGGCGGGTAGCCTCTGCAGCCTCTGTGGAGGAAAGACCCGTACTTTTCTGTTGTAGATTTTATAGAGACCTTAACTCTTAATCCCACCTCCTCCCCCGGGCCTCCTCCTCAGTTTTCAGGAACAAAAGTGATATCTTTAAATAGGGAACAGGGCATTAACTCTGGATTTCAAGCGATGGGGATGATCGAAGAATTATTTTGGGGTTTGAAATTTTAGATTCCGGGAATTTTGAGGGGTGGGAAAATTTGGCAAGTTTTTTTTGGGGCGGCTTGATTTAAGTTGGGATATTTTTGGCTATACAAAACAATCTGAAGATTTGATTTCTAATGTTGTCGTTTTTCACGCTTTCTGGAAATTTTTAAGGCTCGGAAATTCGGCATGGGATTTTTTGGGGAGTTTTGGTGAAATCCCAAGAATGTTTTTTAGGTTTTGATTTATGCCCCCATTCGATGATCTCAGGAGTACCCCATGCTTAAACCCCATGCACCCCTCCGCGCCCCGGGGGAACTTTGGAAGTACTGTAATGTGGAGCCCAGGCTAGACCGAGAAAATGATCTGGCGCGGTTACATTTCAGATGCGCTTTGACCGTCAAATCTTGGATGAAAAGTAGCTACTACAACTTAAAATACGTGGAAAATACGTGGAATGATGTGTAGTTTTTTAACGTAATTTCGTATAGCATCTCCTAAGAATCTTTCAAGAAGTAATAGGGGTAATGGCGGCTGTGGAACACTCCAGAATACGAAGCGTTGTTCAGGTACGTAAGCTTCTTTAAGCCTTGTGTAGAGGTCGAAAATGGGAGATGATGTAGTTTGAGTTGTTCGCTTAAATCTTGAAAGATTTCAGAAATCTCTTTTCCGTTGTCTGACGACAATAGTTCCTTTCCCTTTTTATATATCTTCGAGATATAATTCAGATTTGTTGATCACCTTTTTAAGACTTTTTCAATTGTGATTGTAAGCTTATGAGTCTATACAGCTTATAAATATGGTTACTTAGCTAGCTTTTGTAAATTTGTCTTTAGCTTGCATGGTCCAAAGAGAATCAGTAAGGCTTTAACGTATTTCGTGTTGTCTTTTTAAGTCTGTTAGACATTCGAATTCGCCCGTTGGTGGAACTGCTCAGAGGTCTAGATCTAGATCAAGATCAAGATCACCACAGGAGAGATAGTAAGATTTAATAACCTGATAACTAAGCATGCTTAATTATCGTAAGCTTAAATTAGTATAGAGAATAGCATGATTTGTAGTGATATTTGGTATAAATACCACAAGTGATATTTCAAAACTGTTATGCGTAATTCGGCGAGTGAAATTTGAGACAATTTTGAAATATCATGAGTGGTATTTATGCCAAATATCATGTACAAATCATGCTATTATTTGTTTATACTACTACCCACAAAAGGTTTGTAATTTTCACACATAGGTATTTCAAATTAAGCTGAAATACCACTGCTCTAAGCCAATCAAATTGCGGTAATTTCTCATGTAGTAGTATAACTTTTGAAATCACTTAACTGTTAGGACCTCGAAAGAAATGGTCATTTGCATTGCGTTTTTAAATAGCTTGCGTGACCGTTTCAGGCCAACTGTTTGGTCATGTGACATGTATTCCCTAATCAGAGAAAGGTTATAACCAAGTTTCAATTAGGTCTGATTTCTGTTGCTCTATTGGATCCAGTCTTGTTCCTCACTGAAAAGAGACAGCAGGAAGCCGGAGTGGCCAATAGTTTCTGTAATAGAAATAAAAAATTTAATTTATGCATCATTACCAAATGCTAGAAATAGAAAATGTCAGCTGACACCAAACACATGTTGTGTTTTGCCACATTTTTGCTTTGGTCTTTGCCATTGAGCTCAACAGCAACACATACAGATTAAAGGTATTTCCATTGATCTTTGTGACTTACATTAGCAAAGTTAGGGATGAGATATTTACAACAGCAATGTATGGGCTTGAAATTCGTCACAATGGCTGTCCAGAAACTTCGGTGCAGACTGGAAAATAAATTATTGATAATCCATATCTGGTTAGTTGAATGGCAGAAATATCCTCACCATTTTCCAAGTTCTCCAATGTTTTTCTTTATAAATATTTCAGGTTTTTAACCTTAAAACACTTCCAATCACAATCACACACTCCTCATCTAACAATACCTTTCCATCTACCACTTGAAATCTGCTTCAAAGAAATTAATTCATGTGGCGTTCTTGATTTTGAGGAGGCAATGATCTGATTGGTGGAAATCGACAAAAGTAACCCATGCATTTACTTTGGAAATAAAGATTCCTTTATTAACATTAATTTTTCAGTTCAAGAGAACGTCGTGATAAGAGAAGAAATAACGAAGACAAGTCTGGAAGTGACTATGATAGGTATGTGTAGAATTAAGTAGTTTATGTAAGTTAAGTCATAGTTAACCCTTTGTCAATAATCTTAATTCTAATAAAATTTTTCTCCTCAATATGTCCTCTATGGACGTAGAAGTGATGTGCTTGCCACTGACAAATCACGATATTTTGCTCATCCTTGTCCAATAATCGTTGTCCTTTGTGCTTCTTGTTGTTTTGCCACTGTAGCAGGAGACGAAGGAGAGAAGATAAGGAAAACAGAAATAAAAGTGATGACGATAAGGAAGAGGACAGAAGACACCCAAGAAGGACACAACAAAGTGATAGTGAGGATGAGAGAAATTCTGATAGGAGAAAAGATCGACACAGAGACCGAGAGAGACACAGAAGAAGAAGATACAGGAGTGATGATGATGATGATGATGATAGAGAAAGGGAGAGAAGAAGAAGAAGAGAACATGATGATCATTCTGAAAGAAGGCGGCGTTTTACTCCCTCGGATGAAGAGAGGGATCATAGGAAAAATAAACGTAGTCCTGTAGAGGATCAGGAGCGAGGTGATGCACATGATAGGAGCAGAACAAGGGGTGAAGAAGATCAGAAAGCCGGAGAAAAAGAAGATAAGACAGAGCAGGGTGTAGAGACTGCTAAAAAGAAGGTGGACCCAAACAATCCACTTCTGACAAGAACAGGTAGAGATTCCTGTGGTTATTTTATCTCTGTATTGGCTGATTAATAATGGTACAAAATTGTAAGAGGACTGAGTCTGTAATCATATGAGTGATTAACAAAATCGGACAACGGCGTAGCGGGAGTCCAATTTGTTTAATCCCAAGTATAGACTGAATTGGATGACACAAAGTTCTGTTACCAACTGATCATAACTATAACAAAATATTTGTGATATTTTAGGCTTTTTCAAACTTTAAACCCGAGAAATTCCTAGAGTTGTTTTGCTAGCAGTGAAAAAAACCACTTAAGTGGGCATGTGCTATGGCACGCACTGTCCTATTACACTGTGTTAGTGCTGAAATCAGGGCAGTTGATAGCCAGTCAGCAATATTGTTTTAAAGTAAGTCTGTGCTGGTTTAAAACCCAACCAAACTAGTGTTATTAAGAGAGGGTGACACTATTTTTTAAGTGTCCTTCCTGTTACTTTCTCAGGTGTTCATGTACATGAACTGTACACTTCTTAAACTCAACCTTAGGTTGAAGAATAATATTATTGATAGCTTCACTTTCCCATGAAAGTGTTTTCTTTGTCCAAAAACTGTTGAATGTTTTCAGCCATATCATAAGTTTGACTCTTGAATCTTTTTGCTTGGTATATTTTGTGATCTTTATTGTGCTATTAATCTTTCAGGAGGTGCATATATTCCCCCAGCAAGACTCAAAATGATGCAACAGAGTATTGAGGACAAGAGTAGGTGAGTATTTAGGAGGTAATATTATATTGAAATGGTTAAGACAGAATCTATTAGGAAATTTTAATTTTTAGTGGATGCAAGAATTGTGAAAGCACAGGTAAAATTCTGAAGATTTCATGTGTAGGATGTGATTTTGTGAAATTTGACATCTATTTTCTCGGGCTCTGATGATTTAATTTTCTTTGGTGTAGTTACATTATTACATCTGTAGCCCTAAAAAATGGGGTATTGTTTAAATTATTCTGGTGCAAGGTTTTGTCCACTGAAATTTAAAATTACTCCATTTCCTTATGGATTTCGTCTTAAATTGTTAACCTAGCACCTTTAATTGGGTGACCATGATCATCATCATACAGTTCAGGTTTTCTGCAGTTATTGGAACATAGGACACCATTTAATGTTCTCGTTTTGGGCTTGCTTTTCCCAAATTCCTACCAAAATTTGATATCATTAAAGCATAGTTTGGCTGAGTCGTTCCTCAGCCCTGCAAAATGTTTGAATTTCTTGGCTGGGTTGTTAGCCAACATAGTTTTATGAGGGTGGGTGGATGTTTGCTCCCTAGCTCAACAGGCAACCTGGAGGGTCAAAGGCAGTTGTTTGTCTGGTCTTTATCCCTCAACCATTATTCCCGGTGCTTTTCAATTCAAGGGTTTGGCCTGCCAATTTGGTTTTGGTAATTTTTAAACAAAACCTCTCATATGTGACGAGTTCTTTGGCACTCAATCACTTAATTATGTCTGGTGTCCATTTTATAAACTTAGGTCACCAAAATTGGTTCTTTGCTAAAAGTTGAGCTTGCTGTACTGGTTTTACCAACAGAAAAAATGTATTAAAAGGACCATTTAGCGCTTTACCGGCCCTCTTGTCCATATTTTAATACAGGGTGTCATTTAAATCTAGGTTAACCTAATACAGGTTTCACTGACAACTAGCCGATACACTGTATGTCTGCATGTACACTAATAATAACTGTTTTTCAAAAAGTTAATTGTGACATACCCGTACATGTATTTAGTGTTCATCAATTTTTTTTCAGTGAAGCTTATCAGAGACTCAGTTGGGAAGCATTAAAGAAAAGCATCAATGGTCTTGTTAACAAGGTTAGTGCTAAACTGTATTTTTAAACAGTAAGATAAGATAAAGGTACACATGAGCCAAGAGGCTCTGTCCATATCTCTGGAACTTTTCCTGGTTTACAAGTGTAGTGTGGAACTTGCTTTTCCCCAGTTGCCTCTTGTACTCCATCATCAGTATGCAGTTTTGTCTTAATAATTAGATTTACTCAGGGCTTCAATTTCATTAAGAGCCGGGGACCAGGGTTTTCCTAACTACAGTACGTGGTTCCTGGCTACTTTCAGACGAAAAAAGAAGAAAAATAGAACCAAAAGAAATCCCTAGCTGTTTGATTCCCCGCCTACTTGTTGTATTTAACAGGCAACTTGAAATCTTAGTGACAGCTCTGTTTACTCAAGTATTATGATTCCTAGTTTTGATGATTATTTGATAGACTCAACTGGTTCTGAATTTTTTTATTGTTATTGTAGGTTAACACATCAAATATTGGTAACATTGTAAGAGAGCTTTTCCAGGAGAACATTGTACGAGGAAGGTAGGGATTGAGCATAAAATAATAAAATGATTGATAATTAATAAAATAATATTATTTTCCAGCAAGTTATTAAGTTCTCTGTTACATCCATGCAAGTGATTCAATATTCAGTCACAAAATGGATGCTCAAACCACACATGATATTACAATGAATATTGGGTATTTAATTTAAATTAAAATGGTAACTGCGGGATGATTTTTTAGAGCTTGACTGACAAGTAGTTATATAATGTCTTTTTTGGAATGTTAATGACTGCACAAATCATGCCAGCATTTACTCTAATCTACAAGGGATTTTGTTCTTGGTTTTGTTGCAGAGGTGTGCTTTGTCAGTCAATCATGCGAGCTCAAGCAGCTTCTCCAACATTCACTCATGTTTATGCCGCACTTGTTGCCATCCTCAACACAAAGGTTTGTCTGTGCTAAAAAAAAATTAGTAGTAAGTCTTTGTTGTACATTCAAAAATAGTAAATGAGTCCACATTTAACTCTGCCAATTTTTTTTTTGAACAGTTTCCAAAAAATGGAGAACTTCTTCTTCGACGTCTGATTCTGCTGTTTCGACGAGCGTACAGAAGAAATGATAAGGTGCTCTTATGTTCTTTTCTCTATTTACAACATACAAACTGTACAACTTTACATGTAAACTTGTCTTGAATGTGATTTCATGTAACTGTTGAAGTTTCAAGTTCAAAGAGGAAAAGTTCATACAATGTATAAGATGGCATGCATTGTGACTAGGAAAATATTGTAGAATGTTCCGATGGAACACTTCTGTTCTGCTTAGAAGCTGTCGAAGAATACAGAGGAAGCACTAACCAAAACAAACAATCAAACAAAAAATAAATGTTTCTTGTAAACCCACTGTTATGGCTTGTGTTTCTACGACACTTTGACAATGTTATGATCCATAATTACTTGTACGGTACATGCAGTGTAACAGTTGCTTAAAAACCAAGATAGCTAGATTAGATTATTGTTATGCAGCACTTCAACCTGTCTCGTTATCTCTTATCATGCTTTTATTTGTGCCCTGCATGTAGGCTGTTTGTTTATCTTCCACAAGGTTCATTGCTCATCTTGTCAATCAGCAAGTGGTGAGTACTCGTCTGGGTGTTTCTTTTTATTACGATTATTATTAATTTATTTATTTTATATTTTCATAAATTTATTTTTTTTACTATATATTTTTAACGTTTTCAGAAATATTACAGTGTATTTTAAATGTAGCTGGCTTTAGTTTTCCCATAGTTGTCAGTTGTCAGTGTATGTTCTACACTACAGTATCTATTCGTTGCTGATTTTGCTTTTGTTTTTTACCAAAGAATCCAATTAATAGCAGATCATTATAAGTTTCTGGGAACTGCCCACCTACCCCTCCCCTAAACTAACATTTTGCCCTAAGTGAGAAGTAAGTGTTAATGTTGGCTTAGGGGAGGGGTAGGTGGGCAGTTTCCCAGAAACATATAACAATCCACTAGCCTACATGTGTCAGAGTTACTGGTCAGAGGCAGTGATTTTTTGATTGCTTCCAGTTATTTTTTTTAGAAAAATGGCTCCTCCAACTTCATCAGCTTAGCCTTCAAATCAGGCATTATTCTTACCTATTAAATAAATACATTTTTTTTGCAGGCACATGAGATCTTAGCCCTGGAGATTCTGACCTTGCTTCTCCACAAACCCACAGATGACAGTGTGGAGGTTGCGGTGAGTTCTACGGTGTATCCATTGGAATACTAAGTTTTTGAGCCACAGATTTGTCAAATGTACATGTATAATTTTTTTAAAACTAAAACTTACTTTGTAAGCCAAATGCCATCAAATTTACCCTGATTTTTGTAACCCTCAGTTTTTTCCATTAGATTGAAGAGCAGGTTGTTCATTAGGCATCGGACATTGGAGAATTCTCCTTTTACTGTGAAAAATTATTCAGCTGATGCTTCGGTATCCTGTGGCTATTTTTTATTCAGACGAGGAGCCTCTTTCAAAGATTCTTGTGTAATGTTACACCTTTCTCCTGCTACTAGAATTCTAGATGAAAACCCTAGTAATAGTGTTATTAGGATTTTAGTTAAACAACATAGATTTTATTATCTATTAAAAGGCCAGCAGTCTCTTGGACTACAGAAGGTTGAAATTTATCATTTTAAGCTAAAAATGTTATATTTAATTTTATAGATTGGATTCTTAAAAGAAGTTGGTATGAAGCTGACAGAAGTCTCATCCCGCGGTGTTCATGGTATGTTCACTAAAATAATATTACTACAATGTCAATATTATCAGTGCATTCTGAGTAATCAAATAAAAAATAGCATGTTCAATTACTCTGTCTGCAACATGATAAAATAACTGATAACTGATTAATCATTGTGGTATAATGCATGAACTCAGAAGAAGAATGATATGTTTTTGACCCTCTAACTTAATTTTAGGGGAATCAAACAGGGTTAAAAAAGGCTCTCTCTTAATTAACAATCAGTTTCTTAATTCTCTGAATCACATCTGCTTTTGTGTCATCTGTAGTTACACTGTAGAATTTGCAGTTAACTTACTCAGCATTCATGGTTAGACCATGAAGGTGTTGCTGTTGATTTAATCGTGTGTTATTGCTTTCTATATAGCTGTATTTGGTAATTTTTAAACAAAACCTCTCATATGTGACGAGTTCTTTGGCACTCAATCACTTAATTATGTCTGGTGTCCATTTTATAAACTTAGGTCACCAAAATTGGTTCTTTGCTAAAAGTTGAGCTTGCTGTACTGGTTTTACCAACAGAAAAAATGTATTAAAAGGACCATTTAGCGCTTTACCGGCCCTCTTGTCCATATTTTAATACAGGGTGTCATTTAAATCTAGGTTAACCTAATACAGGTTTCACTGACAACTAGCCGATACACTGTATGTCTGCATGTACACTAATAATAACTGTTTTTCAAAAAGTTAATTGTGACATACCCGTACATGTATTTAGTGTTCATCAATTTTTTTTCAGTGAAGCTTATCAGAGACTCAGTTGGGAAGCATTAAAGAAAAGCATCAATGGTCTTGTTAACAAGGTTAGTGCTAAACTGTATTTTTAAACAGTAAGATAAGATAAAGGTACACATGAGCCAAGAGGCTCTGTCCATATCTCTGGAACTTTTCCTGGTTTACAAGTGTAGTGTGGAACTTGCTTTTCCCCAGTTGCCTCTTGTACTCCATCATCAGTATGCAGTTTTGTCTTAATAATTAGATTTACTCAGGGCTTCAATTTCATTAAGAGCCGGGGACCAGGGTTTTCCTAACTACAGTACGTGGTTCCTGGCTACTTTCAGACGAAAAAAGAAGAAAAATAGAACCAAAAGAAATCCCTAGCTGTTTGATTCCCCGCCTACTTGTTGTATTTAACAGGCAACTTGAAATCTTAGTGACAGCTCTGTTTACTCAAGTATTATGATTCCTAGTTTTGATGATTATTTGATAGACTCAACTGGTTCTGAATTTTTTTATTGTTATTGTAGGTTAACACATCAAATATTGGTAACATTGTAAGAGAGCTTTTCCAGGAGAACATTGTACGAGGAAGGTAGGGATTGAGCATAAAATAATAAAATGATTGATAATTAATAAAATAATATTATTTTCCAGCAAATTATTAAGTTCTCTGTTACATCCATGCAAGTGATTCAATATTCAGTCACAAAATGAATGCTCAAACCACACATGATATTACAATGAATATTGGGTATTTAAATTAAATTAAAATGGTAACTGCGGGATGATTTTTTAGAGCTTGACTGACAAGTAGTTATATAATGTCTTTTTTGGAATGTTAATGACTGCACAAATCATGCCAGCATTTACTCTAATCTACAAGGGATTTTGTTCTTGGTTTTGTTGCAGAGGTGTGCTTTGTCAGTCAATCATGCGAGCTCAAGCAGCTTCTCCAACATTCACTCATGTTTATGCCGCACTTGTTGCCATCCTCAACACAAAGGTTTGTCTGTGCTAAAAAAAAATTAGTAGTAAGTCTTTGTTGTACATTCAAAAATAGTAAATGAGTCCACATTTAACTCTGCCAATTTTTTTTTTGAACAGTTTCCAAAAAATGGAGAACTTCTTCTTCGACGTCTGATTCTGCTGTTTCGACGAGCGTACAGAAGAAATGATAAGGTGCTCTTATGTTCTTTTCTCTATTTACAACATACAAACTGTACAACTTTACATGTAAACTTGTCTTGAATGTGATTTCATGTAACTGTTGAAGTTTCAAGTTCAAAGAGGAAAAGTTCATACAATGTATAAGATGGCATGCATTGTGACTAGGAAAATATTGTAGAATGTTCCGATGGAACACTTCTGTTCTGCTTAGAAGCTGTCGAAGAATACAGAGGAAGCACTAACCAAAACAAACAATCAAACAAAAAATAAATGTTTCTTGTAAACCCACTGTTATGGCTTGTGTTTCTACGACACTTTGACAATGTTATGATCCATAATTACTTGTACGGTACATGCAGTGTAACAGTTGCTTAAAAACCAAGATAGCTAGATTAGATTATTGTTATGCAGCACTTCAACCTGTCTCGTTATCTCTTATCATGCTTTTATTTGTGCCCTGCATGTAGGCTGTTTGTTTATCTTCCACAAGGTTCATTGCTCATCTTGTCAATCAGCAAGTGGTGAGTACTCGTCTGGGTGTTTCTTTTTATTACGATTATTATTAATTTATTTATTTTATATTTTCATAAATTTATTTTTTTTACTATATATTTTTAACGTTTTCAGAAATATTACAGTGTATTTTAAATGTAGCTGGCTTTAGTTTTCCCATAGTTGTCAGTTGTCAGTGTATGTTCTACACTACAGTATCTATTCGTTGCTGATTTTGCTTTTGTTTTTTACCAAAGAATCCAATTAATAGCAGATCATTATAAGTTTCTGGGAACTGCCCACCTACCCCTCCCCTAAACTAACATTTTGCCCTAAGTGAGAAGTAAGTGTTAATGTTGGCTTAGGGGAGGGGTAGGTGGGCAGTTTCCCAGAAACATATAACAATCCACTAGCCTACATGTGTCAGAGTTACTGGTCAGAGGCAGTGATTTTTTGATTGCTTCCAGTTATTTTTTTTAGAAAAATGGCTCCTCCAACTTCATCAGCTTAGCCTTCAAATCAGGCATTATTCTTACCTATTAAATAAATACATTTTTTTTGCAGGCACATGAGATCTTAGCCCTGGAGATTCTGACCTTGCTTCTCCACAAACCCACAGATGACAGTGTGGAGGTTGCGGTGAGTTCTACGGTGTATCCATTGGAATACTAAGTTTTTGAGCCACAGATTTGTCAAATGTACATGTATAATTTTTTTAAAACTAAAACTTACTTTGTAAGCCAAATGCCATCAAATTTACCCTGATTTTTGTAACCCTCAGTTTTTTCCATTAGATTGAAGAGCAGGTTGTTCATTAGGCATCGGACATTGGAGAATTCTCCTTTTACTGTGAAAAATTATTCAGCTGATGCTTCGGTATCCTGTGGCTATTTTTTATTCAGACGAGGAGCCTCTTTCAAAGATTCTTGTGTAATGTTACACCTTTCTCCTGCTACTAGAATTCTAGATGAAAACCCTAGTAATAGTGTTATTAGGATTTTAGTTAAACAACATAGATTTTATTATCTATTAAAAGGCCAGCAGTCTCTTGGACTACAGAAGGTTGAAATTTATCATTTTAAGCTAAAAATGTTATATTTAATTTTATAGATTGGATTCTTAAAAGAAGTTGGTATGAAGCTGACAGAAGTCTCATCCCGCGGTGTTCATGGTATGTTCACTAAAATAATATTACTACAATGTCAATATTATCAGTGCATTCTGAGTAATCAAATAAAAAATAGCATGTTCAATTACTCTGTCTGCAACATGATAAAATAACTGATAACTGATTAATCATTGTGGTATAATGCATGAACTCAGAAGAAGAATGATATGTTTTTGACCCTCTAACTTAATTTTAGGGGAATCAAACAGGGTTAAAAAAGGCTCTCTCTTAATTAACAATCAGTTTCTTAATTCTCTGAATCACATCTGCTTTTGTGTCATCTGTAGTTACACTGTAGAATTTGCAGTTAACTTACTCAGCATTCATGGTTAGACCATGAAGGTGTTGCTGTTGATTTAATCGTGTGTTATTGCTTTCTATATAGCTGTCTTTGAAAGGCTTCGGAACATTCTTCACAGCGCAGAAATTGACAAGCGGGTCCAGTACATGATTGAAGTGATGTTTGCCATCAGAAAAGATGGATTCAAGGTACATAGTTATGTCACTTTTCTTTCGAATTGAAATGTATGGGATGAATCAAATTTTGAACAGTGGATCAATAAAAGTGAACATGATCTTGGCAGTAGAATGAACAACCTAAGTGGTTGAAAATTCAGGCCTTCCCCACTCAAGCCTGAATTTTTTACTTATCATTCATGATAAATCAAGATGTTCAATTTTGTGTATTTTAAACAGGACCATGTTGCTGTTCCAGCCGAACTGGATCTTGTGGAGGAGGAAGATCAAATTACACATCTACTGCGCCTGGAAGAAGCTGGAAACACAGAAGATATTCTAAGTAAGTCAGATGTAAAATTTAATAATTCTTTTCTGTAACTGACTTTGAACTTTTAGGATTCTTGCACTGATTTTAATGTTTGTATTAATTTTGGTGCTAATAATTATCACCTGCTTGTATGCAGATATATTCAAGTTTGACCCAAATTTCCTGGAAAATGAAGATAAATACAAGGAAATAAAAAGAGGCAAGTATTCATTAATAATTCATGTTTTACTGCAGCCATCAGTTTTTGTCTAGCACTTTGAAAGAAGATTAGCATCTACAATAATAACAGCTGCTTGTTAGCAAAAAAGTTGTGGGTCTCCGAAAATTTTTAACTTGGAGTATCAAACGTTTTACTGCGAGGTTTAGGTGCTTTCCAACAGGTTTTCAGAAAGTCCTGTTTTTGCTTCCTTACACTTCTACAATAATATTACTGTATTTAATGATTTCTTTTTCATTTCTGCTGTTTTTGTTTCACAGACATTCTTGGTGAAGGTGACTCGGGTGAATCATCCGATGATGATGATGATGAGGATGATGATGAAGAAGAGGATGATGATGAAAACAAAGGCAGGTTTTTTGTTTTCAAAACCTTCTCAATGCTTAGAGCATTGTAGAAATGGTGGTCACTCTATTATAACAGAATTGGTGGAATTTATTTCTAATAAAATTAAATATATCTTTTTTTTTCAACAGAAGATGAGAAGATGGAAATTATTGATCACACTGAAACAAACCTTGTTGCTTTGCGAAGAACAATATATCTCACAATTCAGTCCAGGTACTGTATGTCGCAAAATTTAATACCCATATAGAAAATTTGGATAACAATTGACAAGTAATAGCAACGATATGTATCGACAAACTCAAATGGCCTTCTGGCTTTACTGGTAAACTCCATTTTGTGTCTTCTGTTGTTGAATAACAAAGATTTCACACTTTGCTTGTTCCAGTGTATCTAATTTTTTGTCCAGGTTTGGACTTTTCGGAAAAAAAAATGAAGTTGAGAATGCTTAAATCAGGAAATTTAATGCTCTTTTTTCATGTTTACCTGTTAAAATCGCAAAAATAAAACCCCGCAAAATACTGTCTTGCCAAAATCATGAAATAAAGTACTGATAAGGTAACTATTAAAAGAATAAGACATAGCCTGCATGGCATGGATTTGACGGAGAAAAGGGGAATACTGGTACACAAGAACGTGAGGAGCACTAACTAGTTCCCCTCCCTTTTGAATGCCTGCCATGTCTGCTATACCCTGTATCTGTAGTAGCTAGGACAGTGTTCTTGTTGAAGTGATTGTGAAGGATCTGTTTTTTGTTCTTAATACTTCGCATTATTTCAGTTTGGATTTCGAAGAATGTGCTCACAAGCTTCTAAAAATGCAAATTAAGGATGAGCAATTGGTGAGTTACTGTACAATACATGGACAGTTAGTAATGGTAACAGGACTGAGTGGAGACCAATTCGGTCTGTAATCATACGAGTGATTAACAAACGCGGGAGTCCGATTTGTGTAATCACAAGTATGATTTCAGACTGAATTGGACTCCACTCATGCCTGTTACCAATTAATCATAGCTTCAACAAAATTAAAATTTTGTGATATA